GTCTTTCACATTAAATTCCAGTGAAATATATTTATGTTTGTGGTTGTAATGTGACAAAATATGGAAAAGTTCAAGGGGTATGAATACTTTTGCAAATCACTGTATATTCACGTGACTTTAATAGCATTTCTTACTTAATGGAAACACTGCAGTTGTGAAACTGTGTTTTTCGACATTAATAGAATATCAACAAAGTTTTGCGCACATTTGCAATGGAAACACAGCTACTGATTCTGCACCAAACCACGTCACTCTGCATTCATCCCTGCACTTTCGCTATTACAACATGGTCTACAGAGGAGCAATCTCTCAGCTGAAATACAACAAACCCACCGTCCCTCTGTGAATAGATCCTCAGACGGCCGTCAGAGCAGCTGGAGTTTTTGTCCTTGGCAAGCTTTCAGTGTTCCCATGTTTCCTGACACATCATGCCTTAAGAAACCCTGCATGTTCTTTTCCCCCTCTTCCTTCATGTTTTTACTCACGTTCTCAGTTCCTCCACTGACCACACAGAAGCATCGGCGACGAGTGCCTTTGTGACCAATTGATCACTGGAGCCAACGCATTAATCAGTAGATTCATGTCTGTGCTGCACACTTGTATGTGAAATTTTATGTTTGTGAAAAAGCTCAAAGCAGGAACACAGCAGGGATTAAGGGTCTGAATCCCTGAGGTAATGGATGAGTAAATAGAGATGAAAAATTAACAGGCAGAAGTGTTGAGAATGGGCCATAGGGTGGTGAAGCAGAGTGTGGTATCTCTACAAAATACACATGTTGGGGTACAGTGGTGCATTTATTTAGTCACACATAAAAAGATTAAGTTTTTAAGTCGTTCTCACTAGATTTTAAAACTTAATCAAATGTTAAAGCACATATCGTGCCAGCTGAAAAATCTTTGGTAATATAGTGTTTTCTTTGCATCTCTTTAGAATTCCCTTCTAAACTTGTTTTCTTCACTCTGGTTTGGATGCATCAGTGGCTTCTGTTTATTTTGCCATTTTCTCTCCCATCTGTCACGACGAGTTATCAAACAGAGTTGCTTACAGGCAGTAGCAGCTCATTGAGCTTCCTGAAACCCAACTAATCCCTGGAATAAAACTTGAAATCTATGACAAGCAAAACATAAATTGCAGTGTATAAAAGCAAAGGCGGGAGCAATTTTAACAATTTTTCTTTAATTGTATAAAACAATTGGGGAAACTAAATGGAATTTAAATCCACTTCGGGAAATATTCCAGCTTTGCTGACAAAGACAAAGTGGTAATTTTTATGCAATATGGTTTTTTTAGACATTGCTGACGATGCCTTTGCAGATACAAACTGCAGACAGAGCAGTCGGAATAAAGCAAGAAGGATTGCAGTGTCAGTTAACAACAGATGGTTTAATCCTGAACACGCGCCTGTGATGAATCATCTCCGTACCCCAAAAAGAAACTGTTAGCCATGGGTTGGCGTTCACAATTTGCCTGAACAAAGATCTCACTGAGGCCAGATGTAACTGGGAGATATGGGTCAAGAGAGCCACAAAAAACAGTTGACAGAATAAGTACATGCTCTGTGGATGAAATGAAGACAAATATACCCAGAAGGAGCATGATCAAGTTCAAGAAAAGCATGTTTGACGGAGGAGATGGCGAATATGACCAAAGGAAATACAATCCTAGAAATGTGAGTTAGGAAGACAGTCTGACCCTCAGAGATTTGTTGACCAAAATGTAGTGCATTTATTAATCTGTCAGAATAAGTATAGAGATTCATACATGAAGAAGCTGTCAGATACGAGGGACTGAATCAAACATAATTAGAAATAAAAGCAGAAATATATAAATGGACCAGTAAATAAATAAATACACTTCAAAAGCACCAATTAAATTAAAAAGGGCAACTTTCCCTCACTTTTTTATAATTTAATTGACCTTCATACTTATTTTTCCAGCTTAATTCCCATAAAT